AATTGTTACTGAGTGCCAGAGAATTGTTACTTAGGGCCACAGAAACTTTACTTAGGGCCACAGAATTGTTTACTCGCAGGACACAGAATTGTTACTCGCACAGACACAGAATTGTTACTGAGGGCCACAGAAACTTTACTTAGGGCCACAGAATTGTTACTCAGGGCACAGACACAGAATTGTTACTCGCACAGACACAGAACTGTTACTGAGGGCCACAGAACTGTTACTTAGGGCCACAGAATTGTTACTCGCACAGACACAGAATTGTTACTCAGGGCCACAGAATTGTTACTTAGGGACAACAGAAATTTTACTTAGGGCCACAGAATTGTTACTCAGGGACAGACAGAATTGTTACAGAGTGCCAGAGAATTGTTACTCAGGGCCACAGAACTGTTACTTAGGGCCACAGAATTTTTACTCAGGGACAGACAGAATTGTTACTGAGTGCCAGAGAATTGTTACTCAGGGACAGACAGAATTGTTACTGAGTGCCAGAGAATTGTTACTCAGGGACAGACAGAATTTTTCAGGGACAGACAGAATTGAGTGCCAGAGAATTGTTACTCAGGGCCACAGAAACTTTACTTAGGGCCACAGAATTTTTACTCAGGGACAGAGACAGAATTGTTACTGAGTGCCAGAGAATTGTTACTCAGGGACAGACAGAATTGTTACTGAGTGCCAGAGAATTGTTACTCAGGGCCACAGAAACTTTACTTAGGGCCACAGAATTTTTACTCAGGGACAGACAGAATTGTTACTGAGGCCAGAGAATTGTTACTCAGTGCCACAGAATTGTTACTCAGGGACAGACAGAATTGTTACTGAGTGCCAGAGAATTGTTACTTAGGGCCACAGAAACTTTACTTAGGGCCACAGAATTTACTCGCAGGGACACAGAATTGTTACTGCACAGGACACAGAATTGTTACTCAGGGCCACACAGAAAATTGTTACTTAGGGCCACAGAATTGTTACTCAGGCACAGAACAGAATTGTTACTCGCACAGACACAGAATTGTTACTGAGGGCCACAGAACTGTTACTTAGGGCCACAGAATTGTTTACTCGCACAGACACAGAATTGTTACTCAGGGCCACAGAATTGTTACTTAGGGACAAAGAAACGTTAGTTAGGGCCACAGAATTGTTACTCAGGGACAGACAGAATTGTTACGGAGTGCCAGAGAATTGTTACTCAGGGCCACAGAAACTTTACTTAGGGCCACAGAATTTTTACTCAGGGACACAGACAGAATTGTTACTGAGTGCCACAGAATTGTTACTCAGGGACAGACAGAATTGTTACTTAGTGCCACAGAATTGTTACTCAGGGACCACAGAAATTTTACTTAGGGCCACAGAATTTTTTACTCAGGGACAGACAGAATTGTTACTGAGTGCCAGAGAATTGTTACTCAGGGACAGACAGAATTGTTACTGAGTGCCAGAGAATTGTTACTTAGGGCCACAGAAACTTTACTTAGGGCCACAGAATTGTTACTCAGGGCACAGACACAGAATTGTTACTCGCACAGCCAGAGAATTGTTACTGAGGGCCACAGAATTGTTACTTAGGGCCACAGAATTGTTTACTCAGGGCACAGACACAGAATTGTTACTGAGTGACAGAACAGAACTGTTACTGAGGGCCACAGAACTGTTACTTAGGGCCACAGAATTGTTACTCAGGGACAGACAGAATTGTTACTCAGGGCCAGAGAATTGTTACTTAGGGACACAGAAATTGTTACTTAGGGCCACAGAATTGTTACTCAGGGACAGACAGAATTGTTACTGAGTGCAGAGAATTGTTAGGGCCAGAGAATTGTTACTCAGGGCCACAGAAACTTGAATTTAGGGCCACAGAATTTTTTACTCAGGGACAGACAGAATTGTTACTGAGTGCCAGAGAATTGTTACTCAGGGACAGACAGAATTGTTACTGAGTGCCAGAGAATTGTTACTCAGGGACAGACAGAATTGTTACTGAGTGCCAGAGAATTGTTACTCAGGGGGCCACAGAAACTTTACTTAGGGCCACAGAATTTTTACTCAGGGGACAGACAGAATTGTTACTGAGTGCCAGAGAATTGTTACTCAGGGACAGACAGAATTGTTACTGAGTGCCAGAATTGTTTAGGGCCACAGAAAGGGTTACTTAGGGCCACAGAAATTTTACTCAGGGACACAGAATTGTTACTCAGGGACAGACAGAATTGTTACTGAGTGCCAGAGAATTGTTACTTAGGGCCACAGAAACTTTAGTTAGGGCCACAGAATTGTTACTCAGGGACAGACACAGAATTGTTACTGAGGGCCACAGAATTGTTACTTAGGGCCACAGAAATTTACTTAGGGCCACAGACAGAATTGTTACTCAGGGCACAGACACAGAATTGTTACTGAGGGCCACAGAATTGTTACTTAGGGCCACAGAATTGTTACAGAATTGTTACTGAGGGCCAGAGAACTGTTACTTAGGGCCACAGAATTGTTACAGCACAGAGAATTGTTACACAGGGACACAGAAACTGTTACTGAGGGCCACAGAAACGTTACTTAGGGCCACAGAATTGGCACAGACACAGAATTGTTACTCGCACAGACACAGAATTGTTACTCGCACAGACACAGAATTGTTACTGAGGGCCACAGAACTGTTACTTGGGCCACAGAACACAGAAACGTTTAATCAGGACACAGAATTGTTACTGAGGGCCACAGAACTGTTACTTAGGGCCACAGAATTGTTACTCGCACAGACACAGAATTGTTACACAGGGACACAGAACTGTTACTGAGGGCCACAGAACCGTTACTTAGGGCCACAGAATTGTTACTCGCACAGACACAGAATTGTTACTCGCACAGACACAGAATTGTTACTCGCATTGTTAGACACAGAATTGTTACTCAGGGACACAGAACTGTTACTGAGGGCCACAGAACTGTTACTTAGGGCCACAGAATTGTTACTCGCACAGACACAGAATTCTTACTCGCACAGACACAGAATTGTTACTCAGGGAAACAGAACTGTTACTGAGGGCCACAGAACTGTTACTTAGGGCCACAGAATTGTTACTCGCACAGACACAGAATTGTTACTCGCACAGACACAGAATTGTTACTGAGGTTACACAGGGCCACAGAACTGTTACTTGGGGCCACAGAAACGTTAATCAGGGACACAGAATTGTTATGAGGGCCACAGAACTGTTACTTAGGGCCACAGAATTGTTACTCGCACAGACACAGAATTGTTACTCAGGGACACAGAATTGTTACTCAGGGACACATAATCGTTTAATTAAAGAGTATGTCAGACAACATGCAGAGGAGTGGCAGAGGAGGCAATGTTTTAGGAGCGAGCAGACGTGGCAGCAGAGGAAGGGGTCGAGGCAGCACTATTCGCAGCCAGAGGCCAGTGCTCCCGGTGTCATCCAGCGGTCGTGTCTCCACCGACAACCCTGCCGTCATCGATTGGTTGGCTCGGTCGTCTTCCTCTTCCCAGGTCACCTCTGACACCTACAGCCAACGGTCGGTGGGTACGTCAGACACAACCGTTAGTTGGCATGGCCCGGGACCAAGCCCACTGAAATCACGTGTCCTCTACCTGCCCCTGTCCTTTGGTGTTCCCTCACCAAGCGAAGTATCGCATGCTGTGGGCTCAGCCCCACTGTACAGTGAGGAAGAGCTAACAGAGGGCGGTCAGGAACGGGGGGAGACATCCGCCTTTTTCAGCAGCTAGGCGAAGAAGTAGTGGCGAGGAGAGTGGCCCGGTAGCCGGTCTAGAGACAGGTCTGTCTCCTGACCCAGACGCAGCCGAGGGGGCTAGTAGTGAGGCGGAGACCCTACTTGATGATGAGGAGGTTGATCGCACTTGGCAGCCTCGTCGTCATCAGGCAATTTCTTCCGCATCATCAGGAGAAGAGGGTGGCAGCTTGGCAGTGAGCGAAAACAGTCGGTGGGTTGCCCAGGAGACAGCAGCAGGGTCGCAGCAGTGTCAGTGGAAGCAGTGTCAGTGGAGCCAAACGGCCACGGAGTAGAGCACCAGCTCCACTGCAGCCTACCACCACGGCCAGTAGTGGTGCCGGTGTGCACGGAGGAAGCAGCAGTCAGCCAGTGAGGAGTATCGGGGGCAAAGTTTCCTACTCGGCGGTGTGGCAATTTTTCGTCAAGCCGCCCGAGGAAGTAAACGTAGCCGTATGTCGACTATGTGGCCAGAAAGTCAAGCGTGGCCAGGGGCCCATGTTGGGACTATTACAGCATGTTGGGCACATATGGAGAGCCTCCCATTGCTGCTGCCATGGGCCACACCTGCCATGTGTTCCACTTTCAGGTCTCCTCACCACACCCTGGTGTGTTGAATTTTTTGACATAGGGTGCTGGCAGATTACGGGCCCCCATAGCTGCTGCCAGGCCCCTAATCTGCCATCAGGCCCCTCAAGGCTCCAACCGCCTCTCTGCTGCTGCCAGGTCCAGCTCGTTGGCTCATCTTCCCTGTTCAGGCCTCCATTGCTGCTGTCTCCTTCACCACACTCTGCCATGTGCCACTTTCAGGTTTCCTCACACACTGCTGGTGTGTAGAATTTTTTGACATTTTTTGGTGCTGGCAGATTACGGGCCTCCCCATAGCTGCTGCCAGGCCCCTAATGCCATAGGCCCCTATATACCGCCTCCTCATGCTGCTGCCAGGTCCAGAGTCTTCGTGAATAGGGTGCTGGCATCCCACAGCCAGGCCCTAATCTGCCATAGGCCCCTATACCGCCTCCTCATGCTGCTGCCGGCCTCCTGTCATCGGAACCATGTGACTCCACCTCCCAAAGCTGCTGTCTCCATCGCCAGGAACTGTGCCATGTGCCACTTTCAGGTCTCCTCACACACTGCTGGTGTGTAGAATTTTTTGACATAGGGTGCTGGCAGATTACGGGCCTCCCATAGCTGCTGCCAGGCCCCTAATCTGCCATAGGCCCCTATATACCGCCTCCTCATGCTGCTGCCAGGTCCAGAGTCTCTCATGGGTCCCTGTACGGCGGCTCCCATTGCTGCTGTCTCCATCGCCACGCTCTGCCATGTGCCACTTTCAGGTCTCCCACACATGGTGTGACCGAATTTTACGAACAGGGTGCTGGCAGATCACGGGATTTCCTGATGCTGCTGCCAGGCCCTAAAGGTACTCTGCCATGGTAACTTCGATCATGCTGCTGCCAGGTCCAGAGTCTGGCATGCTCATGCTGTGACACCTGCCGCTTGCTCAGGCACTTTGAGGAGGCCACGCTATTCGTGAGTCGGCAGGACTATGGGATGAACGACGTCATTCCTCTGTTGCACGTCCTTGAACAAATGCTGTTAACAATGGCTGGTCGGGCCTGCCCATAGCTGCTGCCAGGCGCCCAGATCTCAAGGCCACATGACCCCTGCCTGGGGGCATGCTGCTGCCAAGTCCAGAGTCTCTCTCATGGGTCCCTGTAGAGGCCTCCCATTTGTGCTCAGGAATTATTGAGTGAAATGGGTGCCATGTTTTTCACTCCGGACACACTGTGGAGGGTAGCAGGAGCATCTGGGAGAGGAGGAGGAGGCTGAGACAGAGGACCCAGACGCACCGTGGCAGTATGCTGTGGAGATGGAGGCAGGGAGTCCCTCCATTCCTTGGCACATAAATGGCCCATAGCATGCTCGGTTGCTTGGTAGCGACAGCCGCTGGTAATAACCATCAGTCCCTGTAGGGATGACTTTTGGCTGTCCACCTTGTTGGTCCCGCTTACCGTTACGGCCGGTCGCCAAAAATGGTGAATTTTTTCACACCTGCTGAGAGGGAGGCCCAAAATACGTACTGCCATAAAAACCCCTATGTAGTCAGTTGGTCTCTGCCTTTGTGCGCCAACGTCCATCCTCAGACACTGTGGGTCCCTGTACGGCGCTCGCGTTCATTGCTGCATGGCAGCAGGGGCCACACTCTGCATGTGCCACTTCCACCAGCAGCGGCTGCCTCACACTGCTGGTGTGTAGAATTTTTTGACATTTCTTGCACCAGGCAGTGAGGAAACTACTAACCAGCTGCAGCAGCAGCAGCCCAGCAATCTCAGGTGGCCCTGGAGCCGCTCTCCTCACAGGCTGCTACAGGTCCAGAGTCTCCCTGCCAACCGAGGTAGACAATCCCTTGACTGCTGGTCTCCAACGAAACTTGACCTTTGGCCCCAACTAGCTGAATTTGCCCTTGAAAGGCTGTCATGCCCGGCCAGTAGCGTGGGCATCGGAGCGCGTGTTTAGGCTGCAGGAGGTAGGCCTCCTGTAACTCCTGCTGCCAGGCCCCTAATCTGGACACACTGTCCCCCCAAATATACCGCCTCCGTTTGTGCTGCCAGGCCGTGGATTAGTCTGGAGTTTCATGGGTCCCTGTTCCTGACACAACTGACTAAATGCTGCCATCTCCATCGCCACAACTCTGCACATGTGCCACTTTCAGGTCTCTCCTCACACACTGCTGGTGTGTAGAATTTTTTGACATAGGGTGCTGGCAGATTACGGGCCTCCCATAGCTGCTGCCAGGCCCCTAATCTGCCATAGGCCCCTATATATACCGCCTCCTCATGCTGCTGCCAGGTCCAGAGTCTCTCATGGGTCCCTGTACGGCCTCCCATTGCTGCTGTCTCCATCGCCACACTCTGCCATGTGCCACTTTCAGGTCTCCTCACACACTGCTGGTGTGTAGAATTTTTTGACATAGGGTGCTGGCAGATTACGGGCCTCCCATAGCTGCTGCCAGGCCCCTAATCTGCCAGGCCCCTATATACCGCCTCCTCATGCTGCTGCAGGTCCAGAGTCTCTCATGGGTCCCTGTACGGGTCCCATTGCTGCTGTCTCCATCGCCACACTCTGCCATGTGCCACTTTCAGGTCTCCTCACACACTGCTGGTGTGTTGAATTTTTTGACATAGGGTGCTGGCAGATTACGGGGCCTCCATAGCTGCTGCCAGGCCCCTAATCTGCCATAGGCCCCCTATACCGCCTCCTCATGCTGCTGCCAGGTCCAGAGTCTCATGGGTCCCTGTACGGCCTCCCATTGCTGCTGTCTCCATGTCTCCATCGCCACACTCTGCCATGTGCCACTTTTCAGGTCTCCTCACACACTGCTGGTGTGTAGAATTTTTGACATAGGGTGCTGGCAGATTACGGGCCTCCCATAGCTGCTGCCAGGCCCCTAATCTGCCATAGGCCCCTATATACCGCCTCCTCATGCTGCTGCCAGGTCCAGAGTCTCTCATGGGTCCCTGTACGGCCTCCCATTGCTGCTGTCTCCATCGCCACACTCTGCCATGTGCCACTTTCAGGTCTCCTCACACACTGCTGGTGTGTGTAGAATTTTTTGACATAGGGTGCTGGCAGATTACGGGCCTCCCATAGCTGCTGCCAGGCCCCTAATCTGCCATAGGCCCCTATATACCGCCTCCTCATGCTGCTGCCAGGTCCAGAGTCTCTCATGGGTCCCTGTACGGCCTCCCATTGCTGCTGTCTCCATCGCCACACTCTCTGCCATGTGCCACTTTCAGGTCTCCTCACACTGCTGCTGGTGTGTGAATTTTTTGACATAGGGTGCTGGCAGATTACGGGCCTCCCATAGCTGCTGCCAGGCCCCTAATCTGCCATAGGCCCCTATATATACCGCCTCCTCATGCTGCTGCCAGGTCCAGAGTCTCTCATGGGTCCCTGTACGGCCTCCCATTGCTGCTGTCTCCATCGCCACACTCTGCCATGTGCCACTTTCAGGTCTCCTCACACACTGCTGGTGTGTAGAATTTTTTGACATAGGGTGCTGGCAGATTACGGGCCTCCCATAGCTGCTGCCAGGCCCCTAATCTGCCATAGGCCCCTATATACCGCCTCCTCATGCTGCTGCCAGGTCCAGAGTCTCTCATGGGTCCCTGTACGGCCTCCCATTGCTGCTGTCTCATCGCCATCGCCACACTCTGCCATGTGCCACTTTCAGGTCTCCTCACACACTGCTGGTGTGTAGAATTTTTTGACATAGGGTGCTGGCAGATTACGGGCCTCCCATAGCTGCTGCCAGGCCCCTAATCTGCCAGGCCCCCCTATATACCGCCTCCTCATGCTGCTGCCAGGTCCAGAGTCTCTCATGGGTCCCTGTACGGCCTCCCATTGCTGCTGTCTCCATCGCCACACTCTGCCATGTGCCACTTTCAGGTCTCCTCACACACTGCTGGTGTGTAGAATTTTTTGACATAGGGTGCTGGCAGATTACGGGGCCTCCCATAGCTGCTGCCAGGCCTAATCTGCCATAGGCCCCTATATACCGCCTCCTCATGCTGCTGCCAGGTCCAGAGTCTGTCATGGGTCCCTGTACGGCCTCCCATTGCTGCTGTCTCCATCGCCACACTCTGCCATGTGCCACTTTCAGGTCTCCTCACACTGCTGGTGTGTAGAATTTTTTGACATAGGGTGCTGGCAGATTACGGGCCTCCCATAGCTGCTGCCAGGCCCCTAATCTGCCATAGGCCCCTATATACCGCCTCCTCATGCTGCTGCCAGGTCCAGAGTCTCTCATGGGTCCCTGTACGGCCTCCCATTGCTGCTGTCTCCATCGCCACACTCTGCCATGTGCCACTTTCAGGTCTCCTCACACACTGCTGGTGTGTAGAATTTTTTGACATAGGGTGCTGGCAGATTACGGGCCTCCCATAGCTGCTGCCAGGCCCCTAATCTGCCATAGGCCCCTATATACCGCCTCCTCATGCTGCTGCCAGGTCCAGAGTCTCTCATGGGTCCCTGTACGGCCTCCCATTGCTGCTGTCTCCATCGCCACACTCTCTGCCATGTGCCACTTTCAGGTCTCCTCACACACACTGCTGGTGTGTAGAATTTTTTGACATAGGGTGCTGGCAGATTACGGGCCTCCCATAGCTGCTGCCAGGCCCCTAATCTGCCATAGGCCCCTATATACCGCCTCCTCATGCTGCTGCTGCCAGGTCCAGAGTCTCTCATGGGTCCCTGTACGGCCTCCCATTGCTGCTGTCTCCATCGCCACACTCTGCCATGTGCCACTTTCAGGTCTCTCCTCACACACTGCTGGTGTGTAGAATTTTTTGACATAGGGTGCTGGCAGATTACGGGCCTCCCATAGCTGCTGCCAGGCCCCTAATCTGCCATAGGCCCCTATATACCGCCTCCTCATGCTGCTGCCAGGTCCAGAGTCTCTCATGGGTCCCTGTACGGGCCCCATTGCTGCTGTCTCCATCCACATCGCCACACTCTGCCATGTGCCACTTTCAGGTCTCCTCACACTGCTGGTGTGTAGAATTTTTTGACATAGGGTGCTGGCAGATTACGGGCCTCCCATAGCTGCTGCCAGGCCCCTAATCTGCCATAGGCCCCTATATACCGCCTCCTCATGCTGCTGCCAGGTCCAGAGTCTCTCATGGGTCCCTGTACGGCCTCCCATTGCTGCTGTCTCCATCGCCACACTCTGCCATGTGCCACTTTCAGGTCTCCTCACACACTGCTGGTGTGTAGAATTTTTTGACATAGGGTGCTGGCAGATTGGGGCCTCCATAGCTGCTGCCAGGCCCCTAATCTGCCATAGGCCCCTATTACCGCCTCCTCAAATGCTGCTGCCAGGTCCAGAGTCTCTCATGGGTCCCTGTACGGCCTCCCATTGCTGCTGTCTCCATCGCCACACTCTGCCATGTGCCACTTTCAGGTCTCCTCACATGCTGGTGGTCCAGAATTTTTTGTAGCAGATTTTTTGCCAGGCCCCTAATCTGCATGGCTCTAGAGGATTTCTCTTGACATAGGGTGCTGGCAGATTACGGGCTCCCATAGCTGCTGCCAGGCCCCTAATCTGCCATAGGCCCCTATATACCGCCTCCTCATGCTGCTGCCAGGTCCAGAGTCTCTCATGGGTCCCTGTACGGCCTCCCATTGCTGCTGTCTCTGTGCCACACTCTGCCATGTGCCACTTTCAGGTCTCCTCACGTGTGACTGCTGGTGTGTAGAATTTTTTGACATAGGGTGCTGGCAGATTACGGGCCTCCACATAGCTGCTGCCAGGCCCCTAATCTGCCATAGGCCCCTATATACCGCCTCCTCATGCTGCTGCCAGGTCCAGAGTCTCTCATGGGTCCCTGTACGGCCTCCCATTGCTGCTGTCTCCATCGCCACACTCTGCCATGTGCCACTTTCAGGTCTCCTCACACACTGCTGGTGTGTAGAATTTTTTGCATAGGGTGCTGGCAGATTGGGGCCTCCTTTAGCTGCTGCCAGGCCCCTAATCTGCCATAGGCCCCTATGCCTCCTCATGCTGCTGCCAGGTCCAGAGTCTCTCATTGAAAAAAGCTGCCACACCTTGCCTACTGTGAGATTTTCCTAGCATGGTGGATGGGTCAATCATGCTACGGGCTCATGCTGTTTTGCTGGGTCCCTGCTCCAGGGCAGCTGTTCAGCGTGTGCAAGGTGCCACTTTCAGGTCTCCTCACACTGCTGGTGTGTAAAATTTTTTGACATAGGGTGCTGGCAGATTACGGGCCTCCCATAGCTGTGCCAGGCCCCTAATCAGGCATATGGGCCCCTATATACCCTCCTCATGCTGCTGAGCAGGTCCAGAGTCTCTCATGGGTCCCTGTACGGCCTCCCATTGCTGCTGTCTCCATCGCCACACTCTGCCATGTGCCACTTTCAGGTCTCCTCACACATGCTGGTGTGTTGAATTTTTTGACATAGGGTGCTGGCAGATTACGGGCCTCCCATAGCTGCTGCCAGGCCCCTAATCTGCCAATGGCCCCTATATACCGCCTCCTCATGCTGCTGCCAGGTCCAGAGTCCCGTCATGGGTCCCTGTAGACCTTTGTCTGCTGTCTCCATCGCCACACTTTGCATGTGCTGTTTCAGGTCTCCTCAAACTGCTGAATTTTTTTAGCTTGCTGTACTAAGTACTCTGCCATGTGCCACTTTCAGATTGAATGTCACTTGCTGGGGTTGAATAAATTTTTTGACATAGGGTGCTGGCAGATTACGGGCCTCCCATAGCTGCTGCCAGGCCCCTAATCTGCCATAGGCCCCTATATACCGCCTCCTCATGCTGCTGCCAGGTCCAGAGTCTCTCATGGGTCCCTGTACGGCCTCCCATTGCTGCTGTCTCCATCGCCACACTCTGCCATGTGCCACTTTCAGGTCTCCTCACACACTGCTGGTGTGTAGAATTTTTTGACATAGGGTGCTGGCAGATTACGGGCCTCCCATAGCTGCTGCCAGGCCCCTAATCTGCCATAGGCCCCTATATACCGCCTCCTCATGCTGCTGCCAGGTCCAGAGTCTCTCATGGGTCCCTGTACGGCCTCCCATTGCTGCTGTCTCCATCGCCACACTCTGCTGCACATGTGCCACTTTCAGGTCTCCTCACACTGCTGGTGTGTAGAATTTTTTGACATAGGGTGCTGGCAGATTACGGGCCTCCCATAGCTGCTGCCAGGCCCCTAATCTGCCATAGGCCCCTATATACCGCCTCCTCATGCTGCTGCCAGGTCCAGAGTCTCTCATGGGTCCCTGTACGGCCTCCCATTGCTGCTGTCTCCATCGCCACACTCTGCCATGTGCCACTTTCAGGTCTCCTCACACACTGCTGGTGTGTAGAATTTTTTGACATAGGGTGCTGGCAGATTACGGGCCTCCATATAGCTGCTGCCAGGCCCCTAATCTGCCATAGGCCCCTA